CCTGTCAGAGGAAGACTGAAAACAGGTGTCTGTACTGAAGGGATGTATACATACTGTAGGGCCAGTGGCACATTTAGCAGTTTCAGTGTCCACCTATTCATCCTGTCCACAGGCTGACTACCTGTTAAGAAGAGATTTGCATGAATCTCATCCACTTGCAACCTTGGCTTTCTCTGGAGAAAAACCCAAGCATATGAGCAGAGAGGGAGCCGCCAGGGGCTTTTGTGAGACAACAGCAACATGACAAAGCACATCTACCCAATAAATTACAAATCAATGTCTACCAGTATAGACACAGTCACTTTGTCCTACTTCAGCTTCGGGCTTCACACACTTTTTAAACTATGTCATAGAAAGTTCTCTCTATCACAAAAATGTTCCCTCATTAAGAAGAGACTGATTCACTTAGTCCACCTTCTTCTTGCTAAAGTACAAAATTTTTCTTCACTATCATAGAATAAAGCAAAATGCTGGCATTCTTGTGGATCTTTTCTGAAACATTTCTAATTTATTAACATCATTTAAAATGAATTATTAATGATATCAAGTACAATGTAGAAATTATCTTAGTAGTTCTGTACATATACTGATTCCCACTTTTAACAGATATACTACTATTCACCCAAGGATGGTGTCAGCTCTGCTAACTACAGCTTTTACTAAATGTTCATATCCATTTGGCAATGTGCCACAGCTCCAACACCTTTTCCAACTCCCTGATTTCCAGGATGTGGTAAGCAAGACCTGTATTTTTATTGAACGCAACTCCCTCTGTCGGACTGCAGCATTTCTGTATCCTAAACCATAAAAATTACCTTTGAAGCATACCTTTGGTTATATAAACCAGTGGAAAACTGTGTCAAAGATAAGACTGACAAAATGAAAACCAGTCTTCATTAAATGCATGCAACTACATCAGAAGCCTTTTAATAAGAAGGGTCTCTCCAGCCCTTTAATAACGCTGAGAAAACCCCTGCTACCAACTACAATTAAGGAGGCTTTTGTTCATAGATGTGTACTGGCATAGACAGCTCTCATGGGAAATAGCAAGAGTGAATTCTAAGGAAAAAAAACAGCTAATAAGACAACATCAATCTCTGAAGGAAAAATCAACTTGAAAAACAATATACTAAAAATTTTTGGCAACTTTGAATTTATTTTACTATTTATGCAGCTGAAAGCATCGTAGACTACATGAGGAAAGAATATAAACATTAGTTGTGTAAAATTCTTTAAGGACAATACTGCAAATGTCACCATTTTCAGTTTAACACTTTTTGATTCTTTTGCATTTCCTCTGACAACACCAGGATGGATTAAATTCAATACTCTGTGCTCTTACTATAAGTTCAATATGATCTGTTTAGAGACAAAACACTGGAGATCTTCCAGTACATTTTTACTCTGTTCAGGAAGAAAAATAAAAATCTGAATTCTTTCTCTTTAGACCATTAGAGAAAAGCGTTATAACGTATTTTCTACCCACGCACTATCGTGCTTTTTCTAATGATGGGGGAACTTACAACAGAAATTAAAGAAATAATGGGTTATAAAGAACCAGAAAGGAATTAGCTTTTGGTTGTATCAAAAAGTAAGCCCTTGAAAGACCACTATCTTCTAAATAAAGATGATTTTAGGTTTTCTTAATTGATAGACTTATACTAATTCATACAAGGAAAAGATAGAAATGAATGTGGTATTTTTTTACATTGAAGGGATTGAAATAAATGATGAAAAAAAAGCTCAACTGCCATATTCCTCCTTGAATGCATAGATGTAAAGAAAAAAACAGGCAAGCAGAAGACTCTATATGACACTGTAGACAGACAATGTATGTTATAATACAGTTAAATCATCATTATCTTTATTAAAATCATTCATAAGAAATACCAGAATCTTTTTACCACACTAGACTTAAACAGTAAATAAATAAATCTTGCCAATTCTCTTGCAAGTTTCATTTATTTAAAGTTTCAGAGATTTGAATATGAAATAATTTATTCCCCAGTACATCTCAGGTTCTCAAATTCTGTTTGTAACTTCAAATGTGTGAGCATAATGACAGTCACGAGGATCCTGGTAAAGCTAACTATGCAGAAACTGGATGCTGTTGGGGTTCACAGGTGTTAATTTTTATGAATGTGGACCTGTGGAGCCAATTCAACTTGTCTACAAATACTTTATATATGTCTGCTGAGACAAGCATAGAGTGTTAATGCAAGACATTGCATTAGATCTAACTAAAACTAAAAAAAAAAAAGCATTTTACACATATTTAAAATAAACATTAAAATATGTTTACAAATTATGGCAATAGCTGAATCGAGATGCCTTAAATATCACTTGAAAGATGAAGCCATTGGCAAGAAGAAAACCAAATGGTGAGTGAAACAGAATTTGGGAATATTAGTAGTTATTAATTATGAATTGATATCACTATTATCTACAGGGTATATTAAGTGTTTTCAGCAGCAGACAATCCATGTCAGTGCTCTCTAGCTTCCTTTAAGCTAATAAAATGTCTTAGACATCACCTCCTGGGAAGGGTATCAAGTGACAGATTAATACAGAAAACATTTCTCCTTAATTGCAAGTTATGAGAGCGAGGATCATGAAAACACATGTGAAAGAAAAGGGTGGTAGGGTTCTTGAGGTTTATTCATTTAAAATGTTAAAATGGAAGTAGTGAATGAATGGTAATAAACATGCTATAGGAATATTATTACTGTTGCTGGTTTGATGGCTGATGGCAGACAAATCCTGACAGGACACAATGCTACATACTGGCATATGTCAAACATGTAAACTAGCTTTGACCACTCTTACATTTTTTTCTGCATGTTACAAACAACCAAGAGTCAACTGCTACAAGAGGAAGAGAATTGGCTTATCATTAACTGAGTGGGCTAACAAAATTGAGCACGGTCAAGGGAAATTACCATAAAATATGATAAGATGGTGTGTTCAGCAAGGCTAGATCAGTGCACAACCCAAAGGAAACAAATGGAGAGCAGACTCAAAAGCTGGGGTCTCTGAGATGCCCAGAGAGGAAAGCTGACATGTTTGAATTATTTTAACTTCAGTACATTTTAAATTTCCTAGATCAGTCAAAGAAATCAGCAGTGTAAAATCAGTATGTCAGAAGGCAGGAAAATGAACTCATCAGACTGTAGAGATAAAACAATACAATGAAGAGCTCAAATAAAAGGATGAAAAAATATATTCTATTTCTATCAAGTTAAAGTGGCTAAATGTGACACTTTAGCACTGTGCAAATACTGATGTACGACTATGTACAGGAGTGTTTGAAGCATCTGGTTTGAGACCCAGAGCACCTAAGACAATCTTTGGCCTGGCTGAGAGATGTGCTTACAGGGGGAGGAAGATGGCCACAAAGAGATTCCCACAGGTACTACCGCAGATTTGGAATGCATTAACCATGCTTCCCCCATAACTGCCACGGAACTAGAAGAAAATCCAGAATCCCTATGTCACATAAAGATTTACCTATCAACAGGCAACGTACACAAATGTCACTTTGGAGATGAAAACATTGCTGAAGTGAATAGTTCTCTCTGCAGCTTGGCTTTCTCTCACGGAAATGAAGCTCGATAGACATCAGAGTGGTGGGTCCCTAAGCAATCCTAGATGGTCACTAATCACTTACATAATCTTAGGAATCCTATCACTTTTCTGTGCTTCTGTCTCTTCTTGTTTGTCTTGTCTGTCTGGAATGGCAGGTTTTAATGTGATTAAAGTAGAGGGTGATTATCTCCTGATCTGTGTGTAATACTAGAGTTCCACGCTGGAGTTCCCAACATTCTCAGCCAGGGCCACTAGGTGCTGCTGTAATATGAGTAATTAAAATAATAACTATTATTAAGGAAATTGCATATTCTTACTATGGACTGTTTCAAAAAGCCTGAAATCCAGAGAAAAAACTTATTCTAAACCTTCACATTTTTTGAAAAGTAAGAACCAAAAGACCCAATTATTCACTTCGCTGATACTCAAAATTTTTCCTTTTACCTTTTGAAGCTTTGCAGAAAAAAAGTTGCAAATGCCTTCCTCCTTTCAAAAATGCACTGAATAAATGCAAATTTTTTTCTTCTTCATTTCACTTGTTAAGCCCAGCCTCAGCAGTTTGCTATTATACAAGATCATCCAAATTCATTATACTCAAAAATCCTTGCCCACTACAGAATCGTGCACCTTATTCACATGCTATTTGGATGTGAACAGAAAGGCAAAGTCCTCAGCATGGGGGAGCTTGACTGGAAGTGCAAATGCTTCAGTAAATGCATGGTGATGTTACTAAAGTCTCAGATTTTGTACCTGTCAGTTCCACAGCCTGCTAAGGAGGCTTTATCTTATTAAATGTAGTTGACTGGTCATAAACACAGTAAAAGATTAAGAAGACTTCATACGAATCACAGTCACAACATGCTTCTTGCCTGAGAGTGTTAAAATGCCTTTAAGCAGCTGCCAGCTATAGCTCAGAGAGCTATATGACTGAAGTGCTATTTCTGAAAGTCTTCAAGTCAGTGCATCTAACTGGATTTTATAGTGGACAATCCAAAAGGCTATTTATATTCAAAGATAATTTGGCAAGTCTTGTTCATCAAACCAGTTTTCCAGACACAAAGACTCCACTTAAAAATTTGTTCTTGGATTTACTGCCCTTAAAAATGAAGTTAAATGAAATTATCTGAATCATCAGAAGAACAAGGCTGCTAAAGCAGCTCTAGATTAATTACAAGTGATGAAGTTTTGCTGCTGGGTTACCTCAAGTCACAAAGTTAGCAAGCACAGAAATGAAGTTACAAACACTAAGCACATGTGGAAAAAAAAAAAAAAAGTACGAGGAACACTATATGAGAATTAGGACTTTATGGTAAATGTGGGACAGAATATTCACAGTCTAAACAAGTCATTATTAAAAAGCATTTTAGAAAAGTGCAGAGGTGCCAACACAAACTAGAAATATATTTTATTCTTACCATTTGAGACTGGCTCCGGGGACAGCCATTGATATCTTCAACCTTTTCATTTGCTAAACAAAAACAGTGAGGAGAAAATAAGAAGTAAACAATGAGAGAAAACTTTCCTTTCCAACCCCTGGACAAAAAAAAACAAAAAAACAAACACACCAAAAAAAAAACCTAAAAAAAAATCAACAAACCAAACAACAACAACAAAACCAAAACAGAAAAAGAGCAGAAAAGACACAGCAATAATAAAGTGCACAGGGGTTTGTTGACACAGAGCTCCTTTCTAAGTAAAGCTCAGTCGTACAGTAACAACACTCTTGTTAGCAGCAGTTGCTTCCACATGCCAAATCATGCAAAGGGGGAAGTGCGAAGGAGGTCGCTGCTAATTCTTCAGCCCCTGCAAAATAACTGCTGACATGAAATCTTCCACAATTGTCTTTGCAGGGTCAGGATACAGTTTCAAGGCATCCCAGAAAGTATGAGCCACTCCAACTAACAAAATGCACACATGGGAGACATATGGTTTAATGGAGCATTCATTTCTGACAATTCAAAGTGTGTAAGATACAGTTCTGGCCATTTAAAGTATGGTTAAACAGCCACTTCCAAACATGCTCACATAAACATATTTTTTAATTAAGACAAGGATGAACCACACAAATATCAGAGACATATGGACCCAGTCAAATTGTATTATTCAGGGTTCATCTTTTTGTTAAATACATTCAAGTTGAATTATATACTCCCCCATGCAAGGATTCAGCTCACAGTGCTTTTCTCAACCCTGGTCTTACCGATGATCTGGATGATTTCTGCTAGCAGAACTCCATCTGCAATGTCCTGTTGCAAATCCTTGATCAACCGCTTGTGGCCAGATTTTGCTAGGTAGTGGTTAGCCCAGTCAGTGTAAATCTGCAGAGCAGAGGGGGAGGGCAAGGGAGAGAGGGGGAAGAGAGAAAAGAAGACAATAAAAATCCTTAAAACAAATGTTGGCTTGCACACCAGGACTATTCTGGATCACATTCCCATTTAAGAAGTTAAGAAGTCAGCACCAAAGGAAACATTTTTAAAGTGTATTTTTTGTCCTTTTTTTTTTTTTTAACAGCCCTGCCCCTCCCCCTGCCATTCTGCTTTATTTTAAATTCAAATGATTCAGGCTGTTTCATGAGGGTTCAAACTTGCTGTGACCAAGCAAAATTCCCCTTATGACTGTAAAGGAAACTCCTGTCGTAAATCAGTCACCTCTACCGCAATTCTACCTCCCACCGTGTTTCTACCTCTAGGCATGCCCCACCAACAACTTTCACACTCTGGGACTGCCTGAGAGAAAGTGATAATGGAGACGTGTGCCTGTGCTTTGGTAAGAGTTCATCGGGTTGTCACTGGTGATTCCTCACCTGGCGATGCCTCCGTGACACTTTCTGCAGTAATCACCATGTCCCGCCACGTAGGGACGGGTCATTTGTCCCCTCGCCTATGGTTCAGCATGCTGTAACGCGCACAGAGGAGACTGAGAGCACCAGATGTACAGTAGTCTCATCGCTTGAATTAGAGTATATATTCTGGAAGTATGCTGCATCCATTCTCCGCCAAAAGAGGAGGGGGGAAGGGTGAGACTGAGCAGCACTAAATACTCAGCAACAGGCAGTGTAAAAATGGCACTTATCAACAAAAGGTTGAAAAGGACCAGCTGAGATACATCCTCCAAAATAAGGGAGGGGGGATGTTGAAGAGAGAAGTTGAAGGTATTTCATAAGGCATATACATACACAGAGAAAGCATTTGGGAACCAGGTTCACCTATGAAGAAATAAGAGGAACTGACACCTTCACCTAAGTATCGAAGGAAAAGCGCACCCCAAGAGGTGCTCACACCATCCCGGGGTGTCCCAGCAGGCAGAGGTAGCTTGGACTAGTGAAGCTTGGTGCAGAGGTGTCACACAGCTAGAGGGTATCAGTGGCTCCTGATAGCCAGTGCTGGCTCCCTTTCATGGGATATCCATGGCCTCTATCCCCACCCCAGAAAAAAGGACTTGTACAGACCCTCCCGCTACTGTGGGATGTTACCACTGAGAGACAGCATGTATGTACAACAGCACCACTGTGTAATTAAATATAATAACTAAGGTTCTTTCCCTGCTGAGATTATTTTTTGAAAATGTTGAAACTGCACCTCTTTCATAAAAAAAAAAATATGAGCTCACTTTATAAACATTCTTTTATTTAACCTCATAGACCCTAGGGAGGAAGGGGTCAGAATCCCATTCTGTGAACAGAAAAACAGGTCAAAGCTATCAACTACTTGCTTAGTTCACCAAGGAAATCTGTGACAGAGCCAGGCTCAGATGAGAAAATAGATGCAAATCCCTGGGTAATTACCCAGAAGACCAACATCTACTTTTCACCCAGCAAAAGTATCACCACCCAGTACATGTTCACATACTAAGGACTCCTTCACTATCTGAGTATCTTTATCACAGATTTTCTCCCTTTTCATTAAAAGAGATGGAGAATTGTTTGGTATACTCTATTTCTTCCCATATTCCTGCAGGTGGATCACCGGCTGGTTTGTCATAGCTCTCCTGACAGCTTTAAAACTTTAGATAACTCCACAGCATTATACAGTGGAAGTGGATTCAGCTTTCCCATAGACAAAAAATGCTGCTGTTAGATGGAGCCTTAAATTTCCCTGCTGCACCCAGAAGTCTCAGAAGTCTGCTTTAGTCACCTGTTTTCACTGACACTCTTTTTTCACTATTACTGCTGAGTGACATGAAAGGCTCAATTAAAAAGTTGTTTAAAGCCCACGGTAGCTAAGAGGGTATTTCTTCAACTACATAACCATATATAATAAATGCTAATGTGGAGTCTCTAAAGACTGTATGAACATGTATTTAGAACAACATGAACTCATGATGATAAAAGACACATACTGCACCCATAGCATCATGTATTCCCTACTACAAGTATTTCAACTTCAGTCATTCTTCTAAAGCAATGTCTCAGAAATATTCTCTGTACTATTACTATAAGTACAACTATTTTCTGTATTCCAATGAAACTGATCCACTGGAACATACAAAATACCCACTAATATTATTTTAGGTTAGTTTCACATTACAAATAAAAATACTTTACTAAGCATTTTATTTTTCATCTGTCACACCCACACATAATCTGGTGTACCAATTTTAATTTTGACTACAACTTGAATTATCCTCCCATTAAGCAGCCAGGGAAATTTCATTCTAGCACCTGCTTTGCAAGTTATCTAGTATTAAAAGAATGGACTTTACCCACACACTTAATAATTTTCTTTTGTCATTAATCTAAAAGTGACAAGCATAAAGAAGGTAAGCAGTGTTTTGTTAACAAATGTTGATAATCCACATCACATCAGTAGCCCCAAAACTTTACTGATGGTTTGTACTTTGATAGTTATGCAATGGTGGAAAAAAATACTGAGATGAGGCAGGGTAAATGAGGAGTTTTTTAACTTCAAAAGTATTCTAAAACAAACCAAGAAGGTGAAGAGTTTTTGATGGAGACAATATAGCAAACCAAAACCCAGTTGGCAGTGGAATGTCACATTTAATTTCCTCTCTTTCTGTAGGGATCACCACTTGCTTCTGTTTCCCCCCTTCCCCATAGGATGCCTTTCTCATTCATCTCATTCTTCCAGGGACCCAAGTGCTCAGTAGTCAGTTGTAAAAAATGAAAAGCATGTAGACAGACACATGAAATTCTAAGGATGTACACATGCCACTATATTCTTTTTACATTAAATTCTCTGATGCAAATATAATAGAGAATTCCATCCTCTACATGTATCCATGTAAATATGCACTTCTTAGAAATTTGATCTTAAACTCCTTGTGAAAACATAAAGATCCAGCATGCATCATCATTGAAAATACTCAGTTTGCAAAGGATAGAAAAATCATGCAGAACAGAAGATTTTAAAAATCAGTAACTTCATGCAACGGTCTGCTTTTTATGGGTGCTGCCCTTTTATTGGGTGCTGAGCACCTCTAAGGAAGAGCTATGCATTCTCCCCCTCTTTTCAGAACTGGTAATAGATCATTTAGTCTTGCAGTAACTGTACAGTAATGTTTCCCCCAAATCCTTTTATTTTAGAATTTTCTATGAGTTTGTTTCAGAAACTCACACATGAGGGTTAGCTGTTGCAACACTTTCTCCCAGGTCCGGTGCTTGCTCCAGTAACCCTGCCTTACATCTACGCACTGGGCCGGGCTGCTGACTTACTCATTTCCTCTCCAAGCTTCCTCTCCTACCACCCTGCTTTACAGGCATGTCTGACTGGGGAGAATTCGCCTTCAACACTAGGCTCTGACCGCTGACACCGTACGGAAGAGCTGCTGTTATCTGCCACGTGGAGAACCAGGCTCAGCAATACGATAATGGAACAGACCCGATCCTGTGTTTGTGTGGTCCAAGCCCCGTCCCAGCGCCTGGGGATTTCACCGCTTGCAACATGAAACAGGATTCAGCGGGGCAATCCGAGCTCGGGCACAGCCTGCTCATGTTAACGACGGTTTGCCCTGGCATTCCTCAACCACCAGTCATTCTAACCTTTAAGAGAGTAGAGGAAATAAACTCTGATACCCAAATATAGTTACAAACTTCACCTCGACATTTCACACATAGCTATAAGAAGAACAGTAGAGCTGCTTGGCAGGATTTGTAATGAAACGATACGCTCTGTGACACAGTAGTTCAACAACGTGAAAAAGAGAAAGAATCTCACAGGTTACTTCCTTTCTTAGGAAATGCTTTAATCATAAACCTTGTAATTATATATTGGGCAGTACTATAATGCATCCTCTTTAAAGTGAATACAGAAATGTTGCCACCCGCAATCAGTGCCAAGTGGGAAACATCAGATGGATTTCAGAAGTACAGTCAGCCTAATGCAATAATAATGCATGACACTTTGTTAATGTCTTCCACTAAATCAGCTCAACATGTTTTCCAGACACAAATGAGATCACCCCTATTATTTATTATTTCTGTAGATGTGGGGAAACTGAGGTATAAAGGCTTTCTTGGTTTTTTTTTTTTTTTTTTTTTTTAATGTGGCTCACTCGAGGGCAAACAGAGCTGGGAATACAACCCAGATAGTCTGAGTTGCAATCATTTCTTCTATATGCTTTTTTATCAGACAGTTTTATAAATAGGCTTGGTGGGAAAATGCATATTCCATGAATCAGGATACTTCTGCATATTTTTGTTTGTTTGCTACAGTATATAGGGTTTCAGATCTGAAAATGGTCTTCTGTTGCTATCAAGAAGACAGCTTTCCATACTTAGAGTATGCCCCTGTCACTCCCTTATGTGCCAATGCTTCTGCTTAGGAAGAACAACAGTTGCTGCCAACTCTGTTATGCCAAGACCTTGTGACAGATTTCCATGCTGTTTAGGAGGATAGGTTATATCTGTAAAATATTTAAATATTTGTCCAACATATGAAAATGTTTCATTCCTAGATATGTGGGAATAAACAGATAGTATCCAGTTCCCATCACTTGTCCTTTGAAATACTCTCTAAGAGATAACTCTATCTTCATTGATTAGCATGAAAGAATTGAAATGCTGTCCCCCAGTTGTCACTCATGCTCTTTTCTGTGCACAATACCACCCTAATACTTTTTGGGGCCCCTGTAATATGGTGTGAGGGTGGGGAGGCTTTTTAAGAATTCCATTTTTTTTTTTTTTTTAAGAACTCAATTTGTCAAAAGGAATCTGTAGGCAACAGCAAGCTTCCACAGATTTTTCTTTCTTCTTTATCTTGTAGAAAACGAGAGTTGGAGAAATGGAAGGAAAAGTTATCTATTACAAGAAGTGTTGCTAGCAGCATACCTGGATTGTGATGGTTCAGAGCAATATACAATA